TCACTGCCAACAATATTGATTGGTAAGGTGAAGTGAGTAACCCACTTATCCTACTGATCATTGTGACACCTGCCCTGACATTTAAATATATCCTGATAATGGTGTGTAGTGTCTTTTTTTTTTCTCTTGGGGGAAGCACCAGGCACAAGCATGCTCCCCTTGTGGGTCTCACCCCAGAAAGTTAGAGTATCATAAATCACAGATGGGGGATTTTAAACACCTACCTAATGGACCTTTGAAGATGAGAATCACACATAGCTCACTTTAAAGAGGCAGGCATCCCTGAAATGGGCTGCAACGTTGAGGTTACACCTGTTTAGTGTTTAGCCTACATAAGCAACCAGCAGCCACATGAGCTTTGGTTACCTAAAAAGTAAATACATACAGAATACGGAGTATGTGTCCCTGATTCTGTATGTATCTGTATGTCTTGCCATCAGCCAATCAGATGAGGACCGTGGGCTGAATCAGTGGACAAACTGTGGTAGCGAAGGTTAGGGGTTGCAGATGTTTGGTCGCAGTGTCGTGAAATGTACCAGCAAATTGTCAAAGTGATGCTGCAGGTTCGGAAACAGAGTGAGTGGAAGATGCAAAACCACGTGGCAGAAGTGTTATCGTGGCTTTGACTCTTCAGCCATGATGACTTTGAGAACGTGAGAATGGCCCTGTAGGCGTTTGATATCTGTTCCATTTTCTCTTTCATCAGCTCTATTCAGTTCTGCTCTCTGAGATTTTCTCACCAGTATCAGCCCTTTGCTCTCTGTTTCTCATTGTCACTCACATGATTGTGACTGCTCTCACGCAGAGGAAGAAGACCACATACCACAGCCGTATGCACTGGCAACCACACCAAAACAGGGCACACAGACTACACTGCAGGATAAATAAGACAGGCAAACAAGAAGATAGATAGGCAGCTGGTCCATTAGCAGCAGGAAAAGCTGAGCCAATCAGTAAAGAAGCATCTAATTCAATTTAAGCACCGGTGTGGCAGACTGTATAATACAATTCAGGGATAGTGGCTTGCAGGATATGAAGTTGCCTTTACATTCACCTCACCCAGAGTCAAGAGCTTTTATTGTATTTGCATAAAACAGCCTTATAAACAAACAATACAATAACATGGCATTTCAGAAAATGTTGTAGTTTTTATCAGGCTTCTGTAGGCATTCTTTTATTCTATCCTCATTTGTTGCCCCTCCTGAGATTCCTCCCCTTTTATTATTCCCTAATAACTTCCTTGAAGTGACCTAGACATAATTATGTATTTTCGTACTAATTAAAGCAAAATGATTTTTTTCTTGTAAGAAAAGCTCAATTTAAACTAAAGTTAATATAAATGAATAACTGATTATTTATCAGAAACTGAACTCTGCATATAGGTTGAATTATATGCTTTCATGTAGATACATTTTACAATTTCTATGTCTCTATTTCCCTATCATAAGAAAATGATAAGGAAATTATAGACATAAAGCATTAACCTTTGTTGTTGTTGTTTCTTAATTCAAATCTTATATGAAAATTGACTTGAAATTACATTTTGAAACTAATGGTTTGGGATAATTCTATGATCTGCTGTGACTTCCCGGTTCACAGTCTGAGAGTAAACTTGTGTTGAGCAGTGGCCCTCATTAGTGGCATAGGTTTTAATCTTTCATTTGTGTGTTTCAGATATCAGCTACTTTGATGTAAAGGAGAAATTACTCTACATACTCACATAGTTGTGATAACTGCAGGAATAGGAGAAGTCATTCAGTGAAACTGTACAGCTCACTTTATCTGCAGTTTTAAATTTACTTTCACTTCCTGAAATCAGCCTTTGAAGGTGAAGAAGGTGTGATTGTATATGGGATTCCCAGACTGCAGTTTCTATTCCGTTGTGACCTTTTATTCTGTAGCTGTAGTTTGAATAACCTGTTGTGATTTGTACCTTTTAAAGGGGTTTTGATATTTTATTTGAATATTTTCCTAAAATAACTGTTTGTTGTAAATTGTCAGAGGGTCTTCAATGTTCATCTTTTCTGCATGCAGAGATACACTGTTTATGTTTTTTAAGTAAAACATCACAAGACATCAGGTGTCTGCACTTGTTAAAGATCGTTTTAACTTCTGCAATCACACTGCAAGGCTACTATAAATGCAGAAAGTGTCCAAAGGTCACTCACTGTTTCGCAAGTTATTTTTATTATTCTAAGATGCAATATAGTTAAATGGCAGTTAAATTAGATGTGTTGCTGCTCGATATTATGAAATATATGTATGAAATCCAAGCCCTTGTCTATAATTATGGAGGAATGTGAAACTAATGGAGTTTTGAGTGCAGAGATTCTGACAGTGTTAGGGGAATTTCCACAACCTCACTGTATACACACATACTGCACATAGCAGTGATACACAACACACATGATGATCTGATTGCCCCCCAACTATAAATACTTGGCCTGTTGAAAAGACCTCTAACAAGGCTCTAAATACCAGCTGTTGCTGACCCCTCTGTGCTGTGGGGAGAGGGCCAAGAGACTACTACATTTCTCTCTGGGACCTCCTACAAGAATGTGTTTTCTTGCATAAAACCGGGATAGATGTCAAGGTCCTGATCATGATCCATACTGCAGTACTGCCAATAATCCAATCAAGCTAACATACTTATTGTATTGCAATCTTTCACATTGCATTAATGGTATTATTTACAACTGTATTCCCATTACTGTGATTTTATCATCACTGACTAAATGTTTCAAATCTTTAAAACAAATATTGAATAATTAAATATTGAAACAATGTAAAAATAGAATATAGCTGGGGAATAATAGAGGAAATCGCATCGTATTGATCCACATTGAGCGGTGTGTGTTATGTATGTACCAGGGCTGAATCAAGGGTATATATAAATCATAATTGTATTTATTTATTACCTGATTTTCACAACATTTTGTTTCTCAAGATTCAGTAGACCTCAAACTGTATCAGTTGTTGTTTCAAAGGCAGAAATGAATCATTAAACACAGCCTGCGCTCACTGGGAACAGCTCCAGACAGCATCTTTACCCCATTCAGGTGTTGGGACAGTTGCTCTTGTTTGCACACATTGATTGAGCCGTCTAAGCTTGTTGAAAAAGATGAGAACAGAGTGGTGACCTAACAGCTTCATGGTCCGGTTGACGTTATCCAGTCGCCCTTGTTCCTAATGACTGTGAGAATTGAACTTATGTGAAGTAAACAACATAGTTATTGACGGTAACATAGTGTCATTTAGTTGAATTATACTATTTGCTTAAATATAATTAATAAAGAAGAGGAAATTAGAAATAACTGATTGTGTTTGTGAGTCTAATAAGTTGGAATGCAAATTATACTGCTAGGAAGCTTAGCTTAAACACTGGAAGCAGGGAAAACTCCAACTCCTTGCGGTAGCTCCATATTTAACAGACAGATAGCAAATAAGCATGTTCCCCAAAATTTCAATCTCTTTCTTTAGAGGTTATATATGAGATTTTGAACGTTAATATAGCAGCAAACAAACGAAGTCACGTGCATTCCTGTAGCCAGCTATGAGGTCTCCGTAGTGTGAAAATCAATATTCCAATAGGGCTGCACGAAATGGTACAAACATCATATTACGATTATTTTGACAGATACTGCGATTCACGGTTATGTGGAAATGATCATTTTTGAATCACAAATTGAATTTTCACTTAAAAATACTATTAAAATCATAATGATGTGATGTTTTTTGGGGGTCTGTAGCAAACATGTTTTCTTTAATCTGAAGAACAAGATTTGTAGACCAACAGCTCTTGTTTATACTCAGTTGTACAACACTAGTATGTACCTCAACCAGAGGCCACAGAGCCGTGACTGAGAGCGAGCCAGACAGCTGCTGTTAATTATGACCAGCTGTACTATAGCAGACTGGGCCTTCTCACGACACCTACAAAACAGACACACTTTCACCCATATACACACAGACAAAATCACATACACACAGAGATGTGATAGGGGTGTGGGAGTGGGCTGGTCTCTTGTTAAAGGCACAGTGCTCATACTCAGACCATTCTTTTAAAATGGCTCCTTCATGTCTAACAGTGGTGTTAACAATAAACACCTGTGAAACCACATCTTCTCATGTCCTTTTATGGGGCTGTTTTTCCCAATATTGAGATGCACTGTTATTGTCACAACGTGTCAGTTTATCTGAAAACATCTGTATTCAGTCTTCCTCTTCTTCATCCTTTCACATTGCAAAGGGTATTTGAATAGTGGAAATAAATACCAGCTTCCTTCAGCTGCTCAGTTATGCTTAATATTGACTGCACTCAGCATAAACTGTACAGTACAGTTTATGCAGAGGAACATGTAACCAGTAATGATTACTTTCAGTTCCCCCCCAGCCAGCACTTGGTAAACAGCAAAACCAACTGCAACATGCATGCTTGTGGGAGGTGTGTGTGTGGGGGG